AAGAATAAAGTGAGAAAGAATTTAGGTCTATGGGAAAAGGAATAGGAAGAAAGAACAGACTAACCACATTTTTAGGTCATTGAGTAAATTGCTGTCAACCGAACAGAAATGAGACTTAAATCATACCCCTCTCAACAACACACAAACGCTAAGACAGTAGCATCATAACACTGCAGTCCAAAAATACTGAGTGAATAAGATGTCAGATATGCTCAAGAGAATTAGGGTTTCAATGAGTAACTTCCCATTGTTCAAGATTATTTTCATTTTCTTAACAGAGAGAAATGAAAAACTGATGGGCTTAATTAAAGAAAAACAAAAGGATATTATTTTGTTGTTAAAGGATCAATTCTTTTTTTTTTTTTTGTTAATTGGAATGATGATTAATAAGCTGAGAATTTTATTTCTAAGCTAGCCAGTTTGAGTAATACATTGTTTTTCCACAAGCAATTCCATTAAGGAAAGCTCTGTGAATGAAGAAATGATACACCACTCCCTTTCTTCTGATCGCTGACTTTGTGGCATGAAATGCTACAAACATTTGAACAAATGCTACAAAAATATGAACAGAATGACACTGCACACTGTCCTCACCCAAATGAACTCCAGTCATAAATTTTTCACCTTAAGGTTTGAATGTATACTATGAAATGTGCTCGGCTTCCTACAAGGAATGTAAAAATTAAAAAAAAAAAAAATCAATACTTTTATTTTTCCTATTCTCTAAACTGTCTCGTAAAAGGTAGTACAGGTCATGCTCAGTAAGATGAGAGTATTTTGTATGTCACAGCCCCAGGCATCATTTTTGGGATATCATATGCACACATTAAAACTTCTAAGAGCTTGAGTTGCTCAAAATGTTTTCATCTTATTTTTCTCACCTGTTTACTAGTTTATCTTACAGGGAAAAATTCTCTCTTTTACACAACGTTTTGTTTATATGTCAGGAGATAAAGGCTGTTGTTATTCCTGAATTATGACTCTTTTCCTTTATTTCTCTAAAGCTTAAAAATAGATGTCAAAGTTCCTTAAAAGGGTCTTTGAACTCCCTTCTCCTTTCCCTGGTCCTTCAGTAGATGATCACCAAGAGAAATGTGGAAGCCAGCTGCTTTTTGGGAAATAAAAATGGCATCAGCTTTGGCAGACAAGAAGTGAGATCAATCATTTTCTACAATCCTAACACAATTTTCTTACCAAGGCCTAGAGAAGGGTGGTTATGTAGTGGCAAAAAACATAATCATGAAAGGTACGAGGGGATTTTCACATGGTGAAGAATTCAGTCCGCACATAACAAACCAGGCTTTAAACCTCATGAGAAAGGAAATCTTGGAACTATTATATCCCATGTTCTTTAGACAATAACAAGCAGAGAGTCTCAGAAAAAATTTCTCTCACTGAAAAAGTCATCCCATGATTCACTCTTTTCTCCCTACTACCATAAATTCCCTGACAACACTCTGTGGGAAAAAAAAGGAATTAATTCCTAGATCAATTCAAACACTTATGATTCAAATTATGGACACAAGCTAAAAGCAAATTCCAGTTTCTTCTCTCATTCCTTTTGATATATATATTCTAATCAAGAGTCCCGAGTTGAGAAAATACCTCTTCAGCTGTACAGAGTAATTAGCTATTTATATTTACAAGGAAAATCCTCTCAAAGCTTTGCAGATTGATAAGGGTGGAGGCCCAATATAACTTTATCTACGTTAGAGTGTGTAATGCATATAAGGTGGGAAGGGAGAAACACTAAAATTTTTGTTTTTCATTGATGTGGATAACACCAGCTCACTATCTGTAACGGTCTGTTCCTTTGGAAGCAGCTCCCTGTGTCACAATGACCTAGCAAACTTGAATGCTTTCACTATCACTGGAGTCCTTGCAATCCTGCTGTGGCTGTGACCCATTCACTTTTGCCCCAACTTCTCAGAGATGCCTTACTCAGCATCTAATTAGTTAGGGAGGATTTGCCGCTGCTCTTAACCCCGACACAGGAGTGGGAGGATGTGCTGCTGTGGTAGCCCAAGTCTGTCCTGTCACTACATTAATCAGATTTCCATAAAGGCATGCATTAATAATAAGATTTATCAGTGGATGTTAAGATATACTCATAAATATAATTATAAAAAAAATACCTACAATTATAGATAAGATATCTGCACCTTTAGGGATTTATTTTTCAACACTGGTTACTTGGCTCACCTTAGCAAAAGGCTTTACAAATCATATAAACACAGTACCAGTTTGCAGATGACAGAAATATAAGAAAAATAATTTCAAAATGATCACCTACTATGTTCAAATTCACCTAACGTATCTTATTGAAAATTGTGCACAGGTTTTTAACATACATCTCATACACATTTCATTCTATGTCAACGCTTTACTTGCATTAACATGTACATAAATACCATGTATATGACCTACCACTTTTCCACTGCTACTTTCCCAATGCCTTACAAATTAGACAGTATCTGTTAGGTGAAGTCCGTATGCTATATATAGACGTCCACAAATACCTGTCTCTATGCTACAATTTGTATTTTAACAATTACCCGAATATTCCTATTTTCATTTTAGATTATTAGAATGAATGATAAGAATTATATTTGAATATATGTCCACAGTTAAAAGTTCGAAATAAAACCTATTATCACTCAAATTAGAGAAGGGATCTAAACAGGAGGTAGCAGCAGCCTAGCAATTCAACAGGCTGAAATTATATGCCTCCTAGTATAATATAAATATTTATTTTAGCATCACAACCATAAGTTTGGTCAATTTAATCCTTTTTTTTAAGTAAGACTTGATTACTACAACACACCAACTGTAAGAAGGGGAGTTAAAAAGGGGGAGGGAAAAGTTCAGAAACCTAGGGATGGATGATGCCTGGCAATGAAACTAATTTTCAAAGACCATTAACTATCAACTGCTTTACTCAGGGCTCTGATTAAATAAGAATATACATCCAATGTTAAAAGGGATGTCTATATGAGTGGGATCAAGTTTAGAATAAAAATGTATTGTACACACTATAAAAAAGAATCAAACCATGATATATAATCAGGAATCTAGTTTATTAGAAAAACGGTATCTGTGCCTTTTAAACTATTAGTGAATAAACATTCAAATTATTTGGGGGAGAGGGGTAGAAAGTGAGACAAAACCACCATTTCCACTTTAAAGTATATATGCAGCAAAATGAAACTGTGTTTGCCTATAAGTCTAGAAAGAACTAAGAGACTACTGGGAGAAAAATTCATATCGAACATGCATTTAAGTGGATTCCAGCAACATTATATATTTCTTATAATATATTTTATTTATCATTCCTCTGAAATGTGTTAGATTTTATATTAGTAAGAAAGTTTGCTTTACCCTGTCATATCTCTGGTGAGCAGATGCTCTGGTATTAATGTAAATCGTTGATTTAATTTTTAGCTTTCCTGGTTTGCCCCTCACCTATCCAGGAAATTATTTCTCTGGTGATAACTAACACATCATGCTAATGAGAGAATCTAATGCACAATAGAAAAATGTCACTACTAATAATATTTGCATGAAGTTAAATAAAGCAACTGTAAGAGAATGTCAGACAGTTGTTCTTTAATAAGACACAGTTTCACAATGAAATTATGTTGTTAATTGTGTTACATCATTGGGTGAATCCTAAATTACTACATAATGATGCACAGAGTCATTTATAATTCTAACTCAGTATTTCACTCATGTCTGAGAAGAGACCTTATTAAGGGATCTACATTTTATTTGAAAAGGTTAAATATACCTCACCAATAATAAAAGGAAAATGCCTCTAGTAATATAAGCGTGTAAAACGTGGGCTATAGCCATTTACCTGTTACGGTTGCATTTCTGAAAAGATTTCAAAATATATTAGACTATTGCATCCCTTGAAATACCTATGACAAATTTTATTTAATAATCTCTCAAATACACAAAACATTTACAAAACAGAAAAATCACCTTAAAAAAACTGATTTAAAAATAAAAAACTTCCATAAGCAGGCCTTATTTTTTGCTCTTAACAATACTTTATGAAGTTAAAATGAGCAAAATAATGTTTTGGGCTCTAGAAGATTAACAGAGAAGATGTGTAAAGGGTTTCTGGTCATTCTCGACCTGTCACTGATCAAAGTAACCCAAAGAAGAACTCCCTTTACAGAAGTCAAGAGTCATGCCCTTTAAGGTTATCAAATATTTGCCTGTATGGAAAAAAATTATCTTTGAAAAAATCATAATTGAATATGGAAGAAAAATGTAGAGAGGCAGAAAAATGCAGTCAAATTGTCATATCTCGGACTTTAGAACATACTTAATTCTACCAACTCTAAATTGGCTTCATATTGTAGTTATCTTTTTGTTATTGTTAGACAAAGATTAATGTATAAGCAGATCCAAATGCACTCAAAATAAAAGATGAAGATTTTTATATTCCTTCTTGCTAATTTAGAAAACAAAAACCTAGATTAAATTTCATATCCATGAGATATTTCCTACAAGTTTTGCTGTAGTTAAATATACTGGTGGTGCATTCTCTATAACTCAGTTTTGAAACCTACTAGTCAGTCTTCTCTAATACTTAACAAAATCAAGTAAATCTTATATTTTTACATTGTTAGAGAAAACTTTGAAATAAAAAATAAACCCAATAAATTTTATTTATTTCATGAGCTAAATCAGTTTTCTTAGTAATTAAAATAATCATAATTGAAAAATCTTTTTAATGCCCTTAGCGATAAGATATACAGAATTCTGCATAGTCGATTAAACTGGACAAACTTTTACCTGTAGTAAGACAAAAGCTGTTTTAATGTATATATTGAAACTAGTATTCCTTGAAACTGTTGGCTTCAAGAGATATTTCAAGAAAAGTGTTCTCCTTGCACGCATGCACACCGCCCTCCCCCTCCCCACTGAATCAGCACTGCTGATGAACTATAGGTAAAGAAAATAAACATATTAAATATATACAGCACATTTATTTTTAGGTTTACACAGTTTGAATTTGTTTACACAATATTTATACAAACTAACATGTCACCCTGAAGGAGGAAAAACCATGTAAATTCATACCCTCTTTTACACGCTTTCTAAAAATGCACAGGAGGTAAACATTTAGTAAACATGACAGAAAAAAGAGAAAGAAGGAAGTTATTAACTACATCAAACTAAAAAAAATAAAACATATAAAATATAGTTGAATCACAACTTTTTTAAATTGTGATTTTTCTCCCATTATTGTACTACTATTTAGTAAGCAGTATAATTAATAGTTTCATACTGCATCCATCATGCATAAATTACTTCCCTGTATTTCTACTCCGTTCAAAGAGTCACTGACGCTCACGATGACACATGCACACAGGTACACACAAAATAGATCTTTATATACCCACAGAGTCACACATCTGGATCAAAGATATCATAATAGCTTAGGTTATACAAGTTTTTCTCTCTGAGCGATTCATATGATCTTTCTAATTCTGATCCATCATTTATATAATTTACTTTTGTTTTTTAGCTACAATGTTTTCCACAACTTAATGTCTCCTTAGATTCAAATCTACTTGGAAATGGGCTAGTGCCAAAGAAGCAATCTAACACCATCTATGTGGTTCAATAGCCATTTATCAATTGATCATTATCTCTATCTGGTTTTATTAACTCTTTTCTAGCTAGAGGGAGACCTAAACCAATCTTCTCTTCCAAACACACACACACAGCCCTGACTTCCACTAACTCACAGGAAACCCTGATAGTGACATCTAATTTGTAAAGTGTGGCACAAGTTATTTAGTCTTAAGGTCAGTGAAGACACACTCGTGTCCCAACCACGAAGAGAGCCACCCGGGCAGTGACATGCCGCGGAAACACACCTCTCAAAGCACTCCGCAATGACAAGGAGTATCTCTGGGAGGAAATGACCGTAACTTGCAAGAATGAGAAATTGCACATAAAGAGTTGCTTATTTGGGTTTATGTTGATTGCATTTAAACCCTAGCTTACTGTATCAGCAGTAATCAGGGTCCCTCTACAGGATATGTCAAAATACACCTTATTCAAATGAATTTATCTTATCTAGAATTGTGTGATAAAACTGTTCGCTAGCTAAATGCTACAAAACCCTGGCTCTGTGCACAATTTTCTGCAGATGCATTTCTAAACTTGTGGTAGCTTTATTGGCTTGCAAATTGTTTTCCTTCTTTATCAAATACTTTAAAAACCTAAATTAAGTCAATAAACTAATTTTCATGAACTATTGCAAACAAGTTTGTTTTTTTAAAAGGAAGTAGTTGCAGTATTTTTTTAAGTGAGTGGAACAACATTAATTTCTTAACCGCCATCTGCTTAAAATCCAAGTATTTGTCAGTAATACTTTGTGCTGTGTGAACGATATCATACAAACTCTTGCTTTGTGTGGGTTTGGGGTAGGCTTTTGAAAAGCAAGACGTGTCTAGGAGGGAGGCACCAGGGAACTTCCCTCCCTCGCTTGAGCACAGTCCAAGATGAAAGTTTCTGGGTTGTTTCCCTTCGCTTCCTCTCACCCTCGCTCCCCCTCGGAGCCGCAGAGCCAGCAATTGTGCAAGAGGAGCCGGGTGCACAGGGCGCGTATCACGGAGCGCATGGTACGAGCCGCCGGCTCCGGTGATTAATTATCAGTGGCCGCTGGCCTCGCACTAACACCTCGGCTTTCCCGGCACAGCCAGCACACCCAGCCGCCGCCGGCGCGGCCCGGACCGAGGAGCGGCTCTGGGGAGGACGCAGAGGCTGCCGCCCGAGTGTGA